CCCTGTCCTGTGTTCCTCTCAAGTCCAAGTGCCATCATGGAGGCAGTCCACAGGGAGCACGAGGGTCCTGGGAGGGTCGCCATGGCAGCTGAAGAGCTGCCGCCCCGCCCCCACAACACTGAGGGCAGAGCCCGCGCGCCAGGCCTGCAGTCTCCAGGCCCAACTCGCTGCCCTGCCTCGGTTCTCTTAGGATCTGCATGTCCTCCGCACACAGGAGCTGGACAGAGGTTGGGGGCTGGCTGGGCGGTGACCTCACCGTGAGACACAGTTACAGGGAAGGTGAGGGAGAGCGCCCCCTGGGGCCTGGGCAGAGAACGGGAGGGGAAGGCTTGACCTCCGAACCTGCGGGTGTTCTCAGCGGCCCCCTCCCGGGAACAGGTCACGTGCAGGGCCGGTGGGAGCGCCTCCCCGAGGGAGCGCCTCGCTGCGGGAGCTGCTGGAGGAAGCCGGTCTCGGGGACAGAGGCACCTGCCAGGCACTCCCTCCACCCTGACGAGCCCATTCGGGCACCGTCTCGCCTAGGTGCCCGCCTCTCTCAGGCGCCCACGGGGACCCTTTCGCCCTTTTCGCTCTGCCGCCCCGCCTGGCCATCTCACGGCTCCCTCGCCCCAGGCGTTCAGCTCTGCCCCCAGTCAGTCTCACCGCCCTGCCCTGGCGCAGGGGAGACCACAGAAGCATTCGCGGACTTCCCTTCCGCGGCACGCACGCCTGGGGCTCGCCCGCGTCTAAACGGGTCGGCGCAGGTGCAACAGCGGGAATGGGGCCGTGTCCGGCCGCCGCGGCCCAGCAGTGCCCTGCGGGGGAGCAAGGCCGTGCAAGGCTCCCTCCCGCCGCAGGGAGCGGAGGGCGGCGTGTGGGGACCGAGGGGGCCACCGAGCAGCACCCTGGGGGCGTCCAGAGGAGGGAGCCGATAACCGCAGCGGTGGGAGGACGCGAATGGGCCGCGGTCCGCAGGCCCGGACACCCGAGCCAGGGTTCGCCCGCCCCGCTGTGACCGCCCTGCGCTTCTAGACCCGCTTTCCTGCGAGAAGGCTGAGGCGAGGAGCCCGGAACCGAGAGGCAAGGGCCAGCGGGTCTTCCAAGGCCCGCGAGTCCTCTGGGGCTCCCTGGGCGTGTGGGGTCCGTGCTGGGCCCGCCCAGCGAGGGGCCGTGGGAGGCGGGGTCGGGGGGCCGCAGGGAGGGCAGGTGAGCGGGAGGGCGGCCAGGCGGGGGGGTGGGGGGTGGGGGGGGTGGGGGGCGGGGCGGGGTGGGGCGGGGCGGCGTGTGGAGCTGGTGGCCCCAGAGCACAGCCCGCAGGCTGCAACCCCAGCCTCGCGTCTTTCCGCATTCCCACCCCTTCCAGCTCTGCCATTAACAGGACCTATCACTCGTTATTTGGACTCCGATTTGACAAATTAAATTGCAGAGAATTAAATAAGTCATAGATCAATACATTGGAATGATCAATTAATTATTCTTCCTAATTAAAGCTACTAATTCCTTTCAGTTATATTTTATTGCCCTGTGCCTAATTCTGAGCTTTCAGGCAATTGTATTGATTGCAGGTATGCCTATACCTGGGAGTCAAATAATTTATCCATCAGCGCGGCTCCTTATGGGAGACCCGGGCCGGTACCCACCACCCGGGAGCGGCCGGCGGGCTTAATTCAGCTCGGTCTTCTCTTCAGATGCTGACGACTTGTCTTGTCTTTTCAGTGTTTTGTGGTTCCGGATGCCACAGGAAGATCCTTCACGTGTGACACAGAATTTTAAGAAGAAATGGGCGAGCATCCTCACAAAATTGGTGCGTGGAAGAACTCAAGTGCTTCTTCAAAATTATGCTTTAACTTTGCTTATCTTATCGTGAAGGTTTTGCAACTTCGAGTATCGCTGGTGGGCCGGGAAAGGAGCACCCGCGATGCAGGGATAGAAGGGCCTCTGGCTGTACCCGCGGGCGCCGGCCTCCCCATTGCCTTGGGGTACAAATTAGACGGCAAGCGCTTTGCGGTCGGCCGCCCTGGCTCCCTCAGTTTTGAAATAAGTACAAATAGAATCTCTCTGTTTTCCTTTGAATCAGTTATTCCCCTGGCAATGCTGGACGGTTGATTGTTGACAGGGGAGGAGACGGGAGCTCAGGGAGTTTCAGTCACTTGCCCAAGTGACTCAGGCGGCAAGTGTCGAGGAGTTGGGACCAAACCTCGGCGCTGACTCAGCAGCCCTGGCTCTTAGCAACTGTTCCATACAAATGAGTTCAATTAACTCAACACATTTTTCAGGGGGCACCTGATACAATCCAAATGTAAAAAGGGGGGAGTTTTGGGTGCCACTGTAGCAGCTTGCTTGGCAAGAGATGGATGTGTGGCTGATAGGGAAATTGATACGGTTTTCAACAAAGCCTGCCAATTAATCATACTTAATGAATCTGACTAATGTGTTAAGGGAACGAGCGATTAAAATATTAGCATTCCGAACTTCTCCCTGGCTAATTTCTACTCCTCCCTAGGGTTACCATCTTTCAAAGAGGCAGGAGCACAGAACCGCCGACAGGGATTTTATGGAACAAAAATGCATTTGAAATGGCTTAAATTGGGGACAGTCTGGGTGGTTCTCAAGTGCCTGTCAGTCTTCACGTCTCGCTGCCCAAGCGAGGGACGTGGGCTGAGAAGAGATGCTGAAACTGTCACAACGACTGGAACTGGAAGTGGGAAGCCAGGCATTTCCCAGGGAAGTGGTGCGGAAATAGGGGACAGATGAGGCCTTCACCGGGGAGGCACATCGCCTCTCTGTTCCAGCACAAGGTGAGGTAGGTGAACGTGGTGAGGGAGGCCACAGGCATCCATCTCATTGGCTTTGCACTTTATCCAGGGTCACACACAGAGCTGCTGTGTCATAAATTCATTTTGAGGACAATCTTTGGAGAGTCCCAGCGCAGTCTCCTAAGAACACACTCTGCTTCCTGAGTCCATGCACAGCCTGTTGCTCAGATGGAAGCATCCGGTCTGTGGGGAGCGAGAAATGTCTCAGAACACACCTCGCCACCGCGAGGCTGGGCGGTTCCTCTGCGGGCTGGCCAGTCACTACTTGCAACGATAGGTCGGATTTGTCCGTGGGGTGTGAACTGGAGTTCGTGTGCTCAGGGACCTCCGCGGGGAGCGAGTGACAGGGACAAGAGGGGAAAGAACCCAAACCGGGAAGCAAATGTGTACCCCAGTCCTTTTCTTCATGAGAATCCAGGACTAGCGTGGTTCGATCTCCCAGTTTTTAGGAAAAAGGCAAATGCATGTGTGTGCACGTGCACAGCTTCCTTTTGTTGCTGCAACAAATCGCCACGAATTTAGTGCCTTCAAACAGCACAGATTTAGTAGTTTACAATTCTGGAGGTCAGAAGTCTGAAGTGAGTCAGCGGTGCCGTTACTTCCGGAGGCTCCAGGGAGGATCCTCGTGCCTCTTCCAGCTTCGAGACGGGACGCTCGCGTTCCTGGGCTCCAGGCTCCGCACCTCCGCCTTCCAAGCCAGCAGCATGATGCCGGCTCTCCTGTCCGATCACCGGCTCCTCCCTGATCAGGTCCCCATGATTCTACCGGGCCCTCCGAGACGATCCAGGAGACTCACCCCCTCTCCACACCCTCGCCGACACAGCCAAGACCTAGCCCTTGAGCTAGAAGGAGGGTCCGGGAGAAGTGGTCCGTGCGCTGTGGGTCTGGAGGGAGGACGGTGAGTGAGTCCCCAGGGATCGAAGGCCGCGAGGAGGCAGGAGGCCCAGCGTGTCAGGCAAAAGCGATACCAGCAAAGCGTCGCTTGGTGCTGAGGCCGTGCTGGGTCCTGGGAGGCGCTGCGCAGGCATCAGTGCATGAGCTCCTCCCAGGGGGCAACATTCTCATCCTCGTTTTACAGGCGAGGAGACTGGAGCATGGGCATTCGGAGGCTTGCCCGAGTCACAGGACCCATGCAAAGCGCAGGGGAACTCCATTGGCTTATACTTCCCCCCCATCCCAATTTTGCCAGCTCTGTACACTGCTTGTCTTAATATTTACTTACTGTTGAATTAGCTTGTTCGTGATCTAAACGTGAAACAAATTTTATCTCACTGCAGTCATTGGAAATCAGTATGGATAGAAAATAAATACTATGAAAATAAAGTGTTATGAAATATTCTCTAGAAGTTAGTAACTTCCAGCTAAGAGCTTTGGATGCGACGGAAGAGTGGCGAATGTTAGAGAGGAGTGAAGATACGTATGTTGGCCCCGAACTGGGACTTGCTCACTGGTGTGATCAGAGGAGTTGAAAGCGGAGTAAAGAGGGAGTAACTTTCTCACCACGGGATAGGAAATGATTCAGAGACATAGCCCCGCCTGCAGGGAGACTGCAGCGCGGCTGGGGGCACGGACTCCGGAGGCGGGGCCCCCACCTCGCCGCCTTCCGCAGGTTCCGTCCTGGGCACCACACCTCCGCTTCCCCAGCGGCCCTTGACTGTCGGTGAAAGAATGAAAGTAAAGCGCAAAACCTAACACATGGCAAGTGCTTCATAAACATAAGGCATTAGCCTCACCATCATCATTAAGCTTTGCGCACAAGTCCCTGGCCTTTTCAAAATTTATTTTTTATTTTGTAGATAATGACAATAATCATTATAGTAAACACACAGCGGTTGCTATATGCTGGTCTCTCTTCTGGGTTTTATATGGATACCCTATTTTATATGTATGAGGACATTAAAGTGTATACATGCACATATGTTAAGAGGTATTATGAACCCTATTTAAACCATTATGATGATTTATTCTTATAACCAAGACCCCATAGATGATGATTTTGCCCTAAGGGACTGCAAAGTCGGCCTACGGGTTCCCGGGGGCCTCCCCTGCCCCCTTTCTTCGGGCAGATCCCAGGACCGCGACCTCTAGGAACCCGTGCTGACGGACAAAGAGGCCCCGCCCCCACCGTAGGTTCCTAGCCCCGCCCCCGACACACACCCCTCCCCCGGCGCACTTCGGCCGCGCGTGACGTCATGGCTCCGCGCCGCCTGCGCCTCCGCGCGCCTGCGCCGCGGGCGGAAGGTCGTCTCGGTGACCGGCCTGGCGCTTCGAGCAGCTGTCGCCATGTTGTCGGTTGCCGCCCGCTCGGGACCCTTCGCGCCCGTCCTGTCGGCCACATCCCGCGGGGTGGCGGGCGCGCTGCGGCCCCTGGTGCAGGCCGCGGTGCCCACTGCCTCGGAGCCGCTGGTGCTGGACGTGAAGCGGCCCTTCCTCTGCCGCGAGTCGCTCAGCGGCCAGGCCGCGACCCGGCCGCTCGTCGCCGTCGTGAGCCTCAATGGTGAGCCAGCTGGGCCAGGGGTCCCCTCTTTCTCGCCCTTCCCGCCCCTGGGCCCTGGGAGCGGCGCAGGAGGGCGGGGTCTGCGCGGACAGGCGACCGGGTGGAGCGGGGCAGGCCCGCGCCTCACCGGGGCGGGACACCCCGGGGGCGCGATCGCAGGTCTCCGCCGGCTCCGGCAGCCGCGGCACGGCACCAGGCTCTCTGTCGGCGGCCAGGCCGGGCTCCCGGCCTCAGGCTCCGTTTTGACGCCCATCGGCTAAGTTCCAGGGTTCCGCGTTCCGACTGCGCCCGGCGGAGTCGGATCCATTTCTCACCTGTGAAACGGATCAGCAGTCACACTGACCTCGTAGGTCTTGTCGCGAGGTTCCGTTGAAAATATCCTACCTAAAGCTATTGGGACACTGCGGCGGGGGCGGGGGGGGTACTCGGTAAACGCTCAGAAGTAGAAACTGCCGTTCACACCTGGGAGGGTGTCCCGCTGGCCACTGCCGATCGCTGTCGCGCCCCGGCCCCACACAGTCCGCAGGGCAGCGCGGCCTCAAGGTCAGTCGCAGTGCAGGCTTCGGCGGTGGTTTCCGGCGCTTCGCCCGGTAGTCAGTCCATCTCAAGAAGGATCGCGGGCAGAGCGGTGGGTCCCGTTTCGCAGATGATGGGACAGCGGACAGGGGTGCAGGGGCTGGCGCCGGGATACACCCTGGGCCGGAGGCCTGGTTGCAGGACTGACAACCCTCCGGCAGGGCCTGGATTCTCCTCGCGCCTTGTCTCAGTTTCTCTGTTCCTGCGCGGTCCTGGACATCCTGGATTGGCGGCCTCCGGCCTATGGCCTTAGTCTGCGTCACCACCATCGTTCTAAAAACCTGGGAGGATTTCTGGCGACCCTTGAAACGTTGGGAGCTGGTCCCCCGGGCCCTCCTTCTGCTTGGGACATCCGGTGTGCTCCGTGGCTGCCCCTGGTGCTGTTCCCAGTCCCCACAGTCCTCCGCGGCCCCTGCAGCCCTTGGGTCACCCGCGGGCCCGTGACAGCAGAGTTGGGGATGGGACCGCGCTGCCCCCACGGTTCTGCCTCCCTTCAGCCTTGTCTCCACGCTCAGTGACAGTCCGCTGATTTCCCCACGTGTCCCACGTCTCCGCGCCCTTGCCGCACGGGGACCAGGGCAGGGGAGTGTGCGTTGGCGGCCCCTTCATGCTGTGAGGCGCCTGGCGCTTCCTGCCTGTTGGGTTTGTGATTCCTCTGACCTTGAGCTTGAGTGCAGGGAGAACGTCTCCTTTATTTTTCTACTTCCCACCACCTTGGGTTTTGCACACAGTTGGTGCATAATACTTCCAAGTGAGTCAATTGGCTGTTGGGGGACATTGGGTGTCGGGGAACCTGCTCCAGGCGGGAACCGAGGGCCCTCGCAGGCCCGTGCGACCTGGAGGCGAGGAACAGCGCGGGGGAGGAGCACTCGGCACACAGGCGAACAGCGTCGTGCGAGTGCGCCGCGCTGGCTGAGGGGTTTCTTCCGAAACTGCAGCCTGCCCGCCTTCCCAGGAGCTGGTCAACGCTGCAGCGCTGTGTGGTGGCCACCGTCGCTGGTGACCGCGCCCTCAGCGTGTCGCTGAGGTCACGGGAGAACCTCCTGTCACGGCGGTTTGTGGGAAGGTGGTGAGCAGAGGGTCCCTGAGTCGAGAAGGAGGATTCCCAAGGTGCCCGAGAGCCCCCTGAACAGAAGGAGACAGACAAAAAGCACACGCTGATTCTTTACGCCGCCTTAAACTTCCTCTGTGAGTGACTGTTATGCTTGGGTTTGGAGCACAGTCTAGCCGGCACCCTGCCTTCGAGAGCCTCAGCAGCGGCCCGCAGAGAGGGTCCCGAGCGTGATTGCGGCGCCGGGCTCTGTGATCTCCCAGGGCTCCCCTGAGGGCCGGCGCCACCGGGGGCGGGCGGGCAGCTGGGTGTCTCTGGCCAGCAGATCTCCGGCCAGGGCCGTCAGGGCTGCCCTGGTGGCTGCGCCTGCGCGTTCTCTGTGGGCCGTCCCAGGCCAAGGGCTGTGGCGCTGGTTTAGTGGAGGAGTGTCCCCTTCGGTCCCTTCGACTTTGCAGTCTGACACAGTCCCAGATGGAGCTGAGGGAGAGGGACTCACGCTTCCTCCCAGCCCAGCGCTGACAGGTCGGCGTTGGGCGGGGCGGGGCAGCGCCTCTGGGGAGCTGCTCTGCCACACCCCGGAGTCTCGAGCAGCTGCTGTGTGTCCGGTCCCTCTGAACCCCGCTGGGTCGGGTTCGATAGGCCTCGGCCTTGCCTGGGACCACCTGGCGCTTTCTGGCCATGAGGTTATGGAGCCTGAGGGCTGGTAGAGTTGTACCTTACGTGAAAATACACTTCATTTTAGAAGCATCTTTTGGGTACGACACATTTTCTAAAGGTGAGGGATTTTTGGTGTTCCGTTTTCTAAACAAAGAGATTTGCTTCCTGAAACATCCTTGAAAGTGACACCAAGAAGTTGATTTTTTCAGACATTTAAAAATGCCACAGGACAGAGATGTCACCTGACACTCACCTGACACAGGCGCCGGGCCTGCCTGGGTCCTGCAGCGGCCGTGCGCCCGGGGAAGACGGCGCCCGCTCTCCGAGGCGCCCGGTCCCTCAGGGAGGCCTTCTCCCGGCGTCATGCTAGATTGAAAAACCTGGTTCTTCTGGAGATTTTATAGCTGCTTTTTCTGATCAGGATGTCCTTTTCTGCCCATTCGGGGTTTTACTTGAAGTTAAAGTAATACAAATTTATACCTTCAGGTCTGAAACAGAAATCTCTAAACTGTCTGCAGCTAAAGTTATGCTGCAGCTCACGGACCGTTTATTAGCTTGTAGTTAGTATTTTATGAATTTTTAGCAGTTCTTTCAGAGAATGATAGACAGGAGATATAATAAGATGGTTTAATAAGATGATCACACCAGTCGATGCATAGGCGGGCTGGAGGGGCCGTAGGGTCCCCTCTAACCCAGAGAGCAGGGGAGATCGGTGGCATCATCGCGTAGCAGCCTTGGCACCATGAATCCTGGGGACTGGAACATCGTGCTGTTTCCGGGGCCATTTGACTTTCCACGCGGGAGGCACTGAATCCTACGAAGCCCGAGTCGTCAGTGCTCAGTGCGTAGGAGCCAGCGTGGCAGGTAGTGGTTGACTTCATTTCATCTTTCGTATTTTAGGTGCTGGCACTGCTAACTTGACCCCTTCTCAGACCGCTCAGTGCGACTTCTCACAGTTTTGCAATTTGGTTCTTGCTTGTGAATTCATAAAAGTCTGCTGCCTGACGTGTCCCCTATTTGGGACCCTCATCCAGTTGTTTTTAACCTTCTGTTTGTCTTCCAGCCCCCGCCTCCGTCCGCTATTCCCACACAGACATCAAGGTGCCCGACTTCTCCGACTACCGCCGCGCCGAGGTCTTAGATGGCACGAAGTCTTCCAAAGAGAGCGCTGAGGCCAGGAAGGGCTTCTCCTACCTGGTCACCGCAGCGACCACGGTGGCTGTCGCGTACACCGCCAAGAATGTCGTCTCCCAGTTTGTCTCCAGCATGAGCGCCTCTGCGGATGTGCTGGCCATGTCGAAAATCGAAATCAAGCTCTCCGACATCCCCGAAGGCAAGAACATGGCCTTCAAGTGGCGGGGCAAGCCCCTGTTTGTGCGCCACCGCACCCAGAAGGAGGTGGAGCAGGAGGCCGCCGTGGACGTGTCCCAGCTGAGGGACCCGCAGCACGACCTGGAGCGCGTGAAGAGGCCCGAGTGGGTCATCCTGATAGGGGTCTGCACCCACCTGGGCTGCGTGCCCATCGCCAACGCTGGGGACTTCGGTGGCTACTACTGCCCCTGCCACGGGTCCCACTACGATGCGTCGGGCCGCATCCGGAAGGGGCCCGCGCCGCTCAACCTCGAGGTCCCCTTCTACGAGTTCACCAGTGACGACCTCGTGGTGGTGGGCTAGAGGCCCGGACGTGTCCCGTGCTCCTCTGGGGTCGTGCCACCTCGGGAAAGGGACAGGGGAGGCCGCCTGCACTTCAGGTGGTCGACGCCGGGATAGTTAAGGCCTGCTAATAACGTGTTTGCTAATGATAATGCGAAGTATTTCTAATTGAATGTCGAGTACTTTGAATCATTCACCTAATAAAGCCACTGTTAAGCATTGCTAGGCCCAGAGACAGGAAGGTGCGGTGTCTTTGACAGTTAATTCTCATTAAGAGTCACTAGCTGGTGTGCAAGGCACCTGCGACTCTGTAATTGACTGCCATTTATTTGTCTTGGTCAGGGCCACGGATTTGCCGAGCTCGTGGTGGTGAGGCTGGGTCTGTCGGCCACGGCCAGGCCCGAGTCGCAGGGGTCGGCGGGTGTCCCTTTCGCCCCTGAGTCCTGGCTCGCGGCCCCTCCCCGCCCCTGCCCCCAGCGCGCACACTGATGGGCATGGCTGCAGTCCCGGGGGAGAGCTCCTCCGTCGGCTGCTCCGCCCTGAGGGCGCAGCCCGGCTCCCACCCACGCTGCGCCTGTGACAGGCCACGGCAGCTCTTCCGTCACGGAGGGGAGTAAGCGCCCAGAGCTTTCTGGCTGTGAGCGGGGTGGTGGGAGGCTACCCGGCGAAGACGCTGCAGGGGGAGCTCCGCCCCTTGGTATTTGCACACGGGTCCCCCTTGGGGGACCAGGCCTTGTGCCGCCGCAGCCGCCCCGCCAGGGGGCGCAGGGAGCCGGGGGCCCGGGCCCCAGCCCATGGCAGCGACTCGCGGACTCTGACCGCAGAGCGGTCACACGTTGGGGTTCTTCCCACAGGGTCTGCGGTGACACTGCTTCTCACCTTCTCACAGGGAAATGAGGGTGGGTGCAGGGAGATGTCTCAGAATTAACTCCTCGCCTCCCACCTCCAGGTCCCCGGCTGAGGCCACCCAGGTCTGACACCCCCTGCAAATGGGCAGTGGCTGGACTTGAGCGTCCCGGCTGCGCGGTGCGCTTGTCCTCCGCGGGCGCGCGGGGCGGGGGCCAGGGCTGACCGCCCTGATAGGCAGCACCGGCTGCCCTGGCAGCCCTCGGGCATCTGCCAAACTGCCGCCTGAGGCCTTGGCTACGCCTCCCCGGGAATGGCCAGCGGGGCTCGGGCGGCACCGGCGGCGGCAGAGCATCTCGGGAAGGAGCCGGCCGGGCCACGGGTCGGGGCCAGCCTGGGGAACGGCGGGCAGCGGCAGGGTCCAGGTCTGGGTCTGCGGGCCGTGGCATCTGGGTTCAGATGTTTACATGTGAACATCAGGCACAAAGGGCCAGACCTGCCAGTTCACTGCTTTTCGCTATGTTTCTATTTAAAGTTGAGGCTTTCTGAGCTTCTGAGCATACATGTGAGTTACCAAGGAAAAGCTGCTGCTGCTGAGTAGTGGGCAGTTTGTAGCTCATATGAACAGTACAGCTACATGGTGCGTAGGGTTAGTACTCGGAGCATCTCATGTGAATGTCCCCCGACCCCACCACTCCAGTATCATGAGGCCAAAAGAGGCTGGCGCATGTTTGTTGGATAATTTGCTTATTAGTGTAAAGATCTTGGTTTTCTAGTACCATGGGGGATCCATCTTACACTTCTTTCTCAGGCTGCTTTTTCATGGTGCCGGTTCCCTGCAACTTACCGCTTAAAACCATCCCAGCATGTCTGTCCTCGCCTCACGCTCGTCCGGGGCGTCTGTTCTGAGGCGGCCAGTTTTGAGGCCGAGCTGTGCGCGGCCGCCTCCTTTTCCGACAGGGCCCAGCGGCTGCCCGTCGCCGGAGGGGGCGCTCACGGAGGCACTTTGCTGGCGAGTGCGCGCCAGGCATGGATGGTAAATAAAAACTCAGCTCGAGACGGGAAGGTGAGCTATCAGACCTGGAGTGGAGACCCTGAAGCACCGTTGCCTGTGCCCTCAGAGCCCAGCAGGTGTGGCGGCTGTTGCATCTCAGGTGCGGGTCTAAAGGGACCTTGTTCTCCTGGACGCGGGAGCTGCCGAGCCCTTGCTCTGTGCGGGCGGTGGGGCGGGGCGGGGCGGGGCCGTAAGTGGGCTTAAGCCTGGCTTTGCATCCCCTGTCACCTCCCCTGCTCTGGGCATTGGCTTTCCTGTCCAATGTGGGGGTGGTTGGACTACTGCTCGGGCGTTTGGGGCCACCATTTGCCGGTCACGGTGATGGGAGGGTGGCACTGCCACTGGGCGAGGGGCGGAGGGCCCGGCGTCGGGAGGTACAGTGGGGCCCACACAGGGAGGAAGCTGTGCTGCCCATGGAGGGAGGCTCCCCGTAGGCTCCCCCCTCCGCCCTGCGCCAATGCTGGGTGGGTCCGCTCCCCGGGGAGCAGGGCTCTGCTGAGTGGGGCGGGGGGGGGCGGGGGGTTGGGGGCTGCAGGCCTGTGGTGGCCCCTGGGCTGTTCGGGCTGAAACAGGACCCCAGAGATTGGGGGAAGTGATGTAACAGGAAAAAGAAGGGATTGGGCCCGTTGGCACCCTGACACGAGACTGTTAACCTGAACTTTTCACTGGGCACAAAGCTGGGGGCAGCCTCCAAAGCCACGCCTTCGTTGCGTTTTAAAAAGAGGGGTTATAGGAAGTGGCCTCTAAACACCATTGCCTTGGCCCTGGTTGGTGCAGCTCAGTGGACTGATGGCCGGCCTGGGAACCAAAGGATCGCCGGTTCGATTCCCAGTCAGGGCACAGGCCTGGGTTGCAGGCCAGGTCCCCAGTAGGGGGCGTGCGAGAAGCAACCACACATGGATGTTTCTCTCCCTCCCTCCCTTCTCCTCTCTAAAAATAAACAAATAGTCTTTTTTTAAAAACCAAGGAAATAATTGCCTTGTTTGCTACGGGTAATATCACGCTCCCTTTGTTCTTTCTGAACCGACCTTCGTGGCCCGGGCCAGGCTGTGTTGTCAGCCTGGCTTCCCAAACCGCGGAGTGTGCTGCCGACCGGGGTGTCGGAACCGGCACGCCACTCTCAGGAGCTGAATGTGCACATCATTTGAATATCATTGCAGTTGGTATAAACACAAAATAAAGTTTTCCCGAATGATATCCTTGGTCCCTCCCAGAGCTAACATCGTCACCTGCGCACACCCTCGTGTTCAGCTGCCCCCTGGGCACCTGCGGGTGGATGTGCCATTAACACCTGAACCCCAAAATGTCCGAGAGGAGGGGAGGTCCTCCGTCCCCCATCCGCCACCTCCCCTGCAGTGGGCGGCCTTCCCCTGCCCGCGACCTCCCTGCAGAGCTGCCCCGGCCAGCGACCCCGGGCCCCTGTCCGGCGCCAGACCTGCTCAGGGCGTCTCCTGAAAGAAACGGCTGTCACCATCCGCGGCTGCAGCACCGGGTCAGGGCCAACGGGGCCCCGGCACCCAGTGTCGGCGGGGTGCGCTTTCTGGGGTCGCATTTCACACCCCCGAGTCCCGTCGGGGAGACAGGGCTGCCGTTCCTACTTCCTAGAGGAACATGGGCACGAGGAGTCTCTTGTCTACAATTACGCTGCTTGTAGGTGGGCGGGGCCAAAATAGAGACTGGTCTTTTTTTAAAATCATGTGTATTACAGTTGTCTCAGTTTTTTCCCTTTGCCCTCCTCTGCCCATCCCCCCCACCCCCCACTCACACAGTCAGTTCCCACTCTGTGGTCCATGTCCACGGGTCATTCATACATGTTCCTTGTCTAGTCCCTTCCCCTTCTGTCCACCATTGTCCCTCTTCCCCATGCCCTCTGGCCACTTTCAGTCTGCTCCACGTTTCCGTGCCTGTGGCTTATTTTGTTTGTTAGTTTATTTTGTTGAATAGATTCCACTTACAGGTGAGATCATATGGTATTTGTCTTTCACCGACTGACTTATTTCACTTAGCATAATATTCTCCAGTTCCATCCATGTTGTCACAAAAGGTAGGAATTCCTTTTTTCTTTCTTTTTTTTCAAATGCAGATTGATTTTATTTTTTTAATGTCAAAATCAATTATAAAATATTTAAAAATTTAAATCCATTATAAAGTCTCAGCAATTAACATGACACCAGCATAGAAGTCATCAAGTAGATGAATGAAATAAAATGAGCATTCTAGAAACAAACATATCTATCTAACAATGTAATATATGATTAAATTGATATTTCAAATCAATGGGGGAAATAAGGCTTATTCAGCAAATAAGGTGCATGGACCACTATTACTTGAAATAAATATAGAGCCCTATTTTGCACATTTTACAAAAAAATATTCAGGTGAGTTAAAATCAATATGTAAGATCTAAGGAGTTTTAGGAGAAAATACAAAATAATATTTTTCTTACCCTGACGTAAAATATTCAAACACAGAAGCTATATAGTAAAACATTGACAATATGACTATATTAAACATTTAAGACTATACAGTAATATAAATATTTAAAAAGTTAATAGGTAATAGAATAGGAAAATATTTGCAACACATCTAAAAAAGGGTTAATAGTTTTGTTTTTTTAGGGAAGAAATTTTACAAACATTTAATTAAAAAATGGATAAAGAATACCAAAAAGTTATTTAAAGCTTCTTAAAAATAATAGAAATAGGCAAGAAATATACAAAAACAAGTTTAGTTTCAACAAATAATAAAGTAACAATTAAAATAACACTTAAGCAGTCTATTTAAGACTTCCAGGAATCTACTGTCTGTGGCTGTCTCCTTCAGTTGTTAATCTAGTCACTCTCGACTCAGCAGTGAGCCTTATTCACCACAGGGCAGGGCAGAGTCCCTCCTGGGGGCGGGGCTATTGGGTCTTCTCATGCTGCTGCCAATCAGGAGAGTGGTCTGCCTGAACAAGATGGCTGCTGCTGTATGGGGGAGGAGTCAGCACCGGAATCCTGCGGGCTACTCTCTCTGTTCTCTCCCCAAAGCCTCCATCTCCAGTCTCCTCAATTGTCTCTGGACCACTCTGTGCTCCCTTTAGCCAGGGATCTACTATCTGTGGCTGCCACTCTGTATTCAGCAGTCAGGCTTTAGCACCACTGGGCCAGGGCAGAATCCCTCCTGGGGGTGGGGCTATTGTATCCTCTCACACTTTTGCCGCTCAGGGGAGTGGTCTGCATGAGCAAGATGGCTGCTGCCGTATGGGGGATAAGTCAGCACTGGGATCCTGCCGGCTAGAGAGAGATTGGTCTTGTCGGGTCCTGCTGGTCCTGCAGCAGGCCTTCCCCCATGCCCCCGCCCCCTGCCCCTTGACCTGTGGGCCCCCTCTCCCGAGTTGCTGGGCAGTGGGGGGGTGAAGAGAGCTGGCTGGCT